GTATTTTCTTATTGAATGTTATTTGTTCGAATTGCATGAATCATGTGAAGCGCATTTGGAAAATTGTTTATTTGTATGGAAAAGTTGGGCAAGAGAAGTAAAAAAAATCCATGTGGGACATTTTCACTTCATGCCCACATGTTATTGGGATTACGATTTGAAATACATCAAAAGTGCCAACGAGAAACAGTTTATTTGTTCAATTGTGTGCTGTTGCACATACGTATGCACTTCTCAAGTTATTTGAAGGATTTTGATTGAGCTTCTGTTCCCTTTTTAATCATTTCGTTTTCCTTCAATGGACTCAATGCAGGCAATGATGCCTGAAGGGGCTTTGGTGGGTGCTTGGACGAAGTCTGCTCATAGGCTGTGGGTTAAACGGCTTAGACGTACCGCTTCATTGACCGAGCTTCTGCAGGTTCTCCCCCTTGTTCTCTACACTTTGCGTTTGTTTAATTTGCTTCGGCAGTGTTTCAAGGCCCACAAGTGCACTCTTCTGATCTGCTGAGATCTTTTCCAGGTCGTAACTGATTTCGTCGCTGCAATCAATGAGGATTGGCTGTGCCAAGCCAGCGATGCTCCCGGTTTCAACCCTTTCACGGAAGAAATCGTGTCGTGTTTCTCAAGGTTGCCTCAGACTTCATCTGCACTTGCCTTATGGTTGGTGAAATTGGATGACTTGATTTGGCAGCATTCAGAAAATGCTCAATGTCAAGAGAAGGACGAAACAGCTATAGTGATCAGGTATTGATAATGCATATTTCCCTTTGTAGTCTGTTGTCCTTTGAAGTAACAACTATACGTTCAGCATTGCCCTCCGATGTGTAATGAATATGCTTCCTCTCGATTGGATTTTCAGGTAGCAAACCACTCCCAAGTTACAGGCTCGAATTTCGCGGCTGAAAAATATCATACCGGTATCAGAAACCCTCTGATTTTGGGATCTCATATTGTGTGTTCATCTCAGCTTCCCTCATATGTGTTTTTTTCTGGCCATATCGGAAGCTTTACCGCCTCCAAGAAAGGCGGCAAACTCGCCTCAAGTTTGTACAGAGCAGTGGTTTGAATCCTTCGGGAAGAACTGCCACTCTATTTGAAACTTCTTATTTGGTGTACTTAGGAAAGTTTGATTTACTACTAGTGCTTAGGAAGATGTTATACCAAAACCAGACGCTACTAGCTGAGTTAGATGTATACATGTTTAGGGTATTATTTTTTTTTTGTATAAAAAGGGAGGGTAAAGTTCGCTACTCTTTGAGAGATTATTGCAGCTAATCTGAGGAAGCAACCGAAATTTTGTCGCTGTGAGCAGAATAAAAATCTTCGTTACCTGCTATAATACGTTCCGAATTTCAGGTGTATATACAATGCCATAACGTCTGTCTATTTGATGTGTTTAGGTGAAATGTAATGTTTTTGTAAACATTTTATAAGTGTCCTTTTTAAGCTCTGAATTAAACATTGGTACAACGAATCCTGCTTTCTGAGATGCCACCTGAACCACAAGCTATGTTTGGTCCTTTGGCTTTCAACAATGCCGTCGAGAAGCTACAAAAATTCACTTAAATAAGTACTTTCTCGAGTCATCGGACCCTGATCCTTGGATTTCGATTTGAACGGCATGACACTTCATCTCACCGTATGAGTATATAGTCACAAGAGGTTGTAAAGGATTGCAAGCAGATTAAGTGTGCGTTTGCTTGTGGGATTTGAGTGATGTATTTGGCACTCAAATACAAAGCATTATGTATTTGACAAAAAAAACATTGTTTGTTGAGGTATACAAATCCGTGACGGATTTGGATATTTTTTTAGCCCCAAATTACATGGTACAAAAATCTTTAAATCCATGATCAAAATCAACAAAACAAACAATATTATCTTTCAAATACAAAATCAAACAAATTTATTATAAATCCAAAATTTTCAAAACAAAAAACCTTCATTTTCAAATCCAACAAACAAAATAATAGTTATTTTCTCCGATTCCTATATCCTGTTCCAAACACTATACTTTGAATCCCTTCTTTATCAAGCTCATCGACATAGCCTTCCCAATTCTCCCCAACCCCAAGAACCCAATCTACATTTCCCCGATTCGTGCTTACCCTTTTCCTCTCTTTCCTTTTTTCCGCAGTCACGTTCTCACTTTAGGACCTCGGACAGTTTCCTTCCTCGAGGCTCTATTACCACGGCAACTCTATCACTTTCTCTATTTTTGTCTTTCTCCCTATTATGGACTTACGAGATCTACTGAAGCCGGGATCTTTCTTCTTTTTCGTCGATCTTAGATAGTCAAATTACAACGATCCGCGCGTCACTTTGATTCTTTGCCTTACGAATTGGGAATTTTATACAAGATCCCAAGTCCCCACCCCACTCCCCAATTTCCACTCCCAATCAAATTCCCCAAGTCCACTCGCAAATTGTGATTCCGCGAACCAATCGGATCTCTCCGCCATCTGGGTCGTTGACCCTTTCTTGAATCAATGGGCGCTTCGCACTCAGCTGAACAGCTAGGGAGCGAAGACGAAGAAGAGCTAGCGAGCGAAGACGAAGAAGCGGAGGGGGAGGAAGGAGAAGAAGACGGCCACGGGGGAACCGGCGTCAATGCGGCGGGAATCGACAACTCGTTGGTGAAGAAAGTTCTGGAGCAAGAACCAGAGATGCTCCCTTGTTACGCATCAGCTTCTCCGCTCTCTCCGCAGCTCTCAACCCTCGGCACCCCTCGCCTGGGGCCGTCAATCAAGGTCTGGGACCCGTACAACGTCCTCGGCCCTCCACCGCCACCCCCTCCGATCCCGGTTTTCTCGAGGAGCTTCTCAATGGCGAGCGCCGGCGGCGGGAGCGTGGAGGAGGTGATGGAGGTGTTCTTGATTAGTCATGGTGAGTGTGAGCTGACTTTGAGGCCGGATTTGGTCGGTGGGAGGTGTCATATGGCTGGTTTGACCCCCAATGGGAAGCGCCAAGCCAGGGCTTTAGCAGTGTTCCTTAATTCTCAAGGGGTTAGGTTCAATGCTGTTTATTCCTCGCCTCTTGAACGCGCCAGATCAATGGCTGCTCTGGTTTGCCAGGTAACACTACGGAATCCTTGTTCTACTTTGAAATGTTTGATTGAAAGCATATAGCTTGAACTGATTATGGATCCTGAAGTAGTAATCTTAGAGGACTTGTATGCTTTTTTGTCTTGTGGGTTGTTGTGCATCAGTCATTGCTGATGTTCATTAGTGCAATGATATGAATTCTGATGTTTTATTGATTCAACGTCCTACCTTGGTTTGACTGCGCTACTGCTAATTGCAGTTTGTTGAATTATAATGCTCTTCACATTCTTTGGCTAAACATGGTAAAGAAACTTGTGGTCTGTTGAGATACGTTAAGGGCTTCTATTAGGTTGTTTCCTTTGTCCGTAATGGATAGATGAGGTGATGAATTCTCCTTAGGAGTCTATGTTGTAACGATGGAATCTCATTCTCAAGACTGCAGCGGAACTATGGTCTCTTCTGTCTTCACTTTGACACTTTCGTGTCCCACAAACTTCGTGTACCTCTCATTTTCCAAGCAATCCTGTCGTGTTATGATTATGATATCTCTAGACATCGAGGTATAGCATTTTGTCATTTGACTTGGCGTTGGTCAGATAAAGATGTGACAAAAATAGGTATTTCATCATGGGTGAATATCAATCTTAGGTTATGTGCCATAGCTTGCATTTGCAGCTCTTTCCCCGTTTGTTTCCATGTTTTTGCTGCAGCTTAGCTGATCTTCTATTATAAACGTTCAGGAAATGAGCTTTGGTCATGAACAAATACAAACATCAGATGCACTTGCCGAGATGAGTATGGGCCACTGGGAGGGTTGTTCCAACTCAGAAATCTACACACCTGAAGTTGTCACCTTGGCTGAAACTTCTCAGCCTGATTTCTGCGCACCGTCTGGCGAATCCCTTCGTCAAGTTGAATTCAGAATAATTCAGTTCATGAACGGTACCATCATTGGGCTACCTGAAAGGCTCAGGTCCGATATCTTGATCCAACATCAAAACGAGAACCAAGGCGGGGGCTTTACTCAGCACCGACAGGTTTTCTCGAGAAAAAAGTCGGGAAAGAGCAGGCTGCAATTCGTCACTTCGACTGGGACCCACCAAGAGGGAGATCAACATCAGGACGAGGGATCTCCTAGCCTTCCGAACTCAGCATCGCCATCAGTCTCTTCATGCATTGGGGTTTTCACTCATGCGGTCCCCATCAGGTGCCTCCTCACAGGCCTCCTGGGCTGCAGCCCAGTGATGTCGCATAAGATCTGTATTGAAGACTCTTCTGTCACGGTGTTGCAGCATTCGCTCAGAACCGGGTGGCAGATCAAGCGGCTTAACGATACTGCACATCTCCGGCTGCTCTGATCAACAAGGCATTTGATGATGAGATCACATTGGGGACTTTTTCACCCGTTGTTGTACCTTAAGTTCTATCTCTTTTATCTCTCACAAAATATTATATGTTCTTTGATTCAACTCCCGATAGCCAATTTGGAGAGCTAGATACTTGTACTGAGAGAATGATTCTTTCTTTTTGATGCACAGCAGTTCACAGTTTGACCTCAAATGTAAAACAAAGGTGACATTTCCCCTTGTATTTGCAGAGCTTATTAGCCTTGATATTTTGGGCCAGCTAAGAGCAATTTTATACAGAATGAGTTGAGAAGGATCCAAAGCCCTGCCCAGTCATGTGAAAACTGTAAAAACCATCTTTTATATTTGAACATCCAGGTAAAGAATCTAGACAATGCTCTTGTCCTTGTTCCCAAGAGACAAACGAGAAAAAGGCAAAGTAACGACTATATCCAGGCACGCATTATGGAAATTGGATCAGTATTTATCTCTTCCACTATCACTCTCGTGACTACCTTCACAGTAAAATCCTTTAATATATTCACACATTTCCTGTCCTTGTTATCCTCTATCTATCTATATATCCAATCTCCTCATCAACATTTCCAACATCTCCCAAGATCCATCCATGGCCACAGCTTCAAGTTTCCTTGTTCATTCAGTTGCAGCTATGCTGCTGCTCAACTTGTTCTCCGCCAAATTTCTGCCAGCTTTTGGTTTTACTAACACTGAGCCTACAATCTCAGCTTCCCCTGCAGTGCTGCCATATGAAGATCCATCCAACAACCCTTCTTCATTCTTCCCTTCACCATCTGGGGAATGGCCGGACGGTCCTGCTGCTGCTCCGAGTCAGGAAGATGGGTTCCCGCCGATGCCCACCTCCGGGGAGTTCTTAGGGAAGAAGAACTCTGCCTCAGGATATTTGCTGGTGAAGTTCAGTAATCTGTTACTCGGTTCAGGACTTGTAGTTCATCTTTGTGTTAGTTATTGCCTTTTTTAGGCATGAAAAGTGCTTGTAAGTTCCATAGAAATACAATATTGACACCTCTAGTTTCATGGATGAGCAAATTACTTAATAAGTGTAAACATTTTGTAAGTGCCGTTTTTAAGCTCTGAATTAAACGTTGGTACAAAGAATCCTGCTTTCTGAGATGCACCTGAACCACAAGCAGGTTTCGGAATATATTGGCACGAAGATGAAGTACTCTGTGGATCCATTGGTTTGCGATTAGGCTCCACATCATACTAAAGAAGCTTAATCTTTATACAGCTTCACCACCTCAAGAACAGCTGAAAAATCAAGATTACCTAATCCCATGCTTCTAGCCTTCTTGTAAGCCTGCATCGGAAAGAAACCAAGTCGTCAACAAAGCTACATAAGCATGTGAATGTGTTGGCGAGCAACTTTATTCAGATTGATCAAGATTTTCGTTATTTTATCTTGCTACTCATCTCAAACTGGGTTAGATCAGTGATTAAAGAACAGAGAGACGAGAGAGGTTGCGGAGGAAGAGAGAAAGGGGTTTCTGTTTTTCACCTCATTTGCTGCAGCAGCTACAGGTGTTGAAACAGCATTTTCATCTCCAAGTGCAAGAGCCAACCTCATGTCCTTCTGCTGATGTTTCAGTGGGAATGCAGTGGGGAAGTTGCTTTTGATCATGTTTGGTCCTTTGGCTTTCAACAATGGGGTGGCCATAGCACCAACATCCTGAAGAAAAACAGCATTGTTGTTAGGACAATGATGTCAGGTTACGTCTCATTTGTTAAGAAGTCCTTAGTTGAGGGGGAAGGTAAGAACTCCCGACAAATGGATGGTTTCTCTTACCAGTATGTCAAGAAGATCGCTAGGGTTCAGACCGCTCCTTTCTGCCAAGCCAATTCCTTCCGAAAATGTGGTCATCATGCTGCAAATGATCATTCACCAAAATCGTCATATCACCATCACGTACTTAGGAAAAGAATCTTTCCCTACATATGTGCCGTATGGGCATATTTGACAGTGCAAGCAGGGTATTTGAGTATAGGGTTAAGAGAAATGTGTATGTTCTATAGAGTTTCCAAGTCCTCAAAGCGAAACACCTAGACGATAGAGAGTAGCTGAGCTCGTGATATCCGATTCTATTGTGCAAAACAGTCTCACACCAGACACCCTAAATCGATGTATGTTCTAGGATTCAGAAATGTGGGAAAAGGAAAAAAGTGCATACGTTCCCATGATCAAGTTCACAACAAGTTTCATCCTTGCTGCATTCCCAACTTGCCCCAAGTAGAAAGACTTCTTCCCCATGACATTGAGTGCTGGAATTGCTTCCTCAAACAGTGCCTATATTACCACCAATATGCAGCCAAGTTCATACAAAAACCCACAGAAGGCAAGAATTTCTCATTCTAAATCAACAATGAAGATGAAATATGAATTCACCTATTCAACTAAAAAATATATATATATATGAATTCACCTTGTCCCCAGCAGCTATAATCACAAGCTGTCCATTTTCTGCATGTTTGTAGCCTCCTGACACAGGAGCCTCCACGAAAGAGCCGCCTTTAGATGTAATTGCCTGGGATCATTAGACCAACACATTCAGAATTTGAATGGTTTCCAAATCACTGAACAAGCAAGCAACAGAAAATCATTATTTCTCCAATACAAAACCTCACTTATCTTGCAAGAAGTCTCAGGATCAATAGTTGACATCTCCATATAACCTTTCCCACTGCTTATCTCCTCTAGCACACCATCTTTATCAAACACCACCTACAAAACACCAATCAGAAAATTCAGTAAAGCGTCATTCGGTATGCAGGGATCTTATAACCCCTGTGATTTCGATATCATGGTTTCTCACAATACATATCCTATATTTGGCCCGACTTTTAGAAGTGCTTTTCGGCTTCAAAAGTTGAAGCAGGGCCAAACACCTCTAAAAGCTCGGTTTTTGAAAAGCCAAAAATCGCTTTTGTATAATATAAAAGCAGAAGCTCCGATTTGGAGCTTCTGCGAAAAGCTCTTTCGAAAAGACAATATTATCCTTACCATATTTTAATTTTATTTCAGAAAATATAATTTCCTTTCATTTATATTATTTTAAAAATAAAATAAATTATAAAATCATATTATATGATATAAAAGAAGTCTAACAAGATCCATTTTGACTACATTTTATTGTTTGGAATTACTATTCATAGTTTATATTATAAGTCATTTATAGTCATTTTACCTAAAAAACACTTTTAATAGTTTTTCAGTCAAACACTCAACTGTTCTTTTAAGTACTTCTCTAAAGCTCAAGCCAGAAGTTGTTTCTGCAAAAGCTACATCGAAAACCAAACTGAGCAATAGTTTTACTTGTTTACATACTATACAATTTCCAGAATACAAACTTTAGTTAGGCAGTTTTTACTCAGTTTTTCACATTTTACTATCTCAATAGTTCTAAATTTCTCACATAGTAAACAATAACCTAGAACCTCGGTTACCCCTGAGAAGGGTCATCATCCAACAAGTGAGGCTAGCTAAGGCCTTGGTTTATTCCCCCAAGTCCAGTTTCATCTGAATAGAACTAGAAACGATCAAAACTTCCATTCCAAGTATAGCTACGTAGGAACAGAAAGAGAAAAGGACTAGAGAAGTGACCGAGAGCGCTGCTGCAGGATCAGACACCATGGCTATGGTGATCTTACACTTCTTGACCACAGCAGCTGGTGTCTCTCCAACTGAAGCACCCATTTCCACCAATTCATCACACTGCCAAGCAAACCATCCAATTCGAATCATTAGCATCATATCCACACCAAAGCAAAAGCAATGAAGATTGGAGCCCACAAAACAAAAATACCCAAATTATATACCCGGGAAAGCGTTCTGTTCCAAACAGTGACCTTGAATCCCTTCTTTATCAAGCTCATCGACATAGCCTTCCCCATTATACCCAACCCCAAGAACCCGATCTCCATTTCCACGATTCGTGCTTACACTTTTCCTCTCTTCCCTTTTTCGCCAGTCGCCTTCACTTTCAAACCTCGACAGTTTCCTTCCTCTATTACCACTGCAACTGTATCACCCTCTTTCAGCTAATCTTCTCTGTATACGAAAAAGGAAAGGATAATGAAAGCGAAATAGAACAAACACTGCGGGTCGCCATCATCATCCTCATCCTCACGATTAATATCGAAAGGAATTTTGTTTATTTCTGACTTATGTCCCTCGCAAGACAGAGCAGCAGCCACTTGCACTATGTACACCAATCTCATTTAGTTTCTTAAATATCAAACATTCCTCATTCCCTGGAGATACACAGTACACACCAATGTAGCTGAACAATTTGACAATAATTTCCAGGAAGCTTTACGTGTTTTTTTTCCCGCTATATCGGAAGCTTTACTGCCTCCAAGAAGGCGGTAAAAATCTGCCTCATGTTTGTACAGAGCAGTGGCAGGTGTCAAACATGACCCGATCCGAGTAACCCGCCCAATCAACCCGATCTGCGACCCGCCCGCAACTTGATTGGACTAAAAATCAAAGACCCGCAACCTGCCCGACCCGCAACCCGCTTGACCCGAACCCGATTGACCCGCAACCCGCTTAACACGCAACTCACTTGACCCGCAACCCGCTTGACCCGTAACCCGACTAACCCGAACACGATTAACCCAACCCAAACCCGCCCGATTGGCATTAATAATACTACATAATATATTTTTGTGCATAAATATTATATGTAGATTATATATATATATATATGGTGGCTACTTCGGTGCACTCGCTTTTTTGGGTGCATTCAGTGCACCCACCTCTAAAAGTGGTCATAATACACCAAATTTTGAAATTTAATGGGTAGCATTAGTCTCATATGATGATAGAACACAAAATCACAACTAATCAACCCATTACCCTAACCTATTAACATTCATTTTGAATCTAAACCCAAAATCCCAAATTGTAAACTCTAACCCTAACTCTAAATTCCTAAACCCTGAATCATTCAAATTAAAGTGAATCTTGAATGATTTTTGTACAAATTCATGTGGTTCTTGTTCATCATACTACAAGGGATGATTGACATCGTTTTCACATGAATCGTCTGCTCAGAATGACGATTATGAGGCGGGTGCATTGAATGCACCCAAAAAAGTGAGTGTATCGAAGACATAACCATATATATATATAAAGTTTACGTGAATTGTCCTATTATTTTTTCATCTTTCTCACCAAGAACAAAGGTTTACTTTGTGCTGACAGGAGGTTAGGGTATTAGCGATTCGTTTCACTTTTCTAATCTCTCTGCCTTTTAGTTGAACCAAGTAAATAACAAGTTCAAATTGTATCCGATTAATTACGTGGACTAGTTGCCTTCTGTGATTGTATTTCCAATTCAAGGTACACAGTTGAAAAGCCTAGCAGAGGCATATTTTTTTAACATTTTGTTAACTGATAAACATAAAACTCACTTAATGTATAGGGTATACAGTAGTGGACTCGTGGTTTAGAGTTTGGAGTATTAGTACGTATGTTTTTCTCAATAACTGAATATAAAATTGACTTAACTAACATTCTTCACATAAAATACGTTATAGTTTATACTTTATACTAACAATTACATAACACATAACTATAGTTCATGGTTTAAGGTTAGCGTATATGGTATACGGTAGTGGACTCGTGGTTTCGAGTTTGGAGTCATAGGACGTATGTTCTTCTCAATAACCGAATATAAAATTGACTCAACTTACATTCTTCACATAAGATACGTTATAGCTTATACCAACGATTTCATAACATATAACTATAGTATAGGGTATAGGGTCATGGTTTAGAGTTCAGTGTTTGCATGTTTGGGTTATGGACTTATGGTTAAGGGTTGAGGTTAGTTTTAGGGTTAATTACTTAATGTTGTGATTTAGGATAATGTATGGTTGATGGTTAATGTTAGTTTTAGGTTTCAGATTTAAAATGATGTTATAGGGTTAGAGTTTAGGGTTCAGGGTTTCTTCATGGTTATGCTTTATGGTAGATATTTTGGTTTTTATAGTTTATTAATTAATTTGATTTTAACAATTAATTTAAATTGTGAATGTACATCTTAAATATATAATATTCAATGACATTCCGACCAACGGATCGAACAACAAACTAGTTAATCGGCATAAAATTTACCATCTATAATAATAAATATCAAAGAAAGGAAGAACTAGATGTTGAGGGAAATTTTTTAAATGCAAAATTCAATCAAGGTATAAGCCCGTGAATGATAAAATAATAATTTATTAAAAGAGAGGTACCCCTTCAGCCTTTATGATAAAAAAAAATTCCCAAACTATAGGAGGGAAACTTTGCCCCACTTTTCCATTGGAGGAGGGAAACTTTCTTCTACCAAAAAAAGAAGAGGGAAACTTACCCCTTTCCAAATTTTATATTCCCTCGAAAAATGAAAACAAAAAATCCCGCCTTTGCCTTTCTTTTCCCTCTTCAATTTCCCACCTACTCTCATAGGTTTGCTATTTTGACGATGAAACCCCACTTCATTCTCTAGCTTTCCTCTTTTCTTTTTCTCCTCGTCCGCCTAAGAGCCACGCTGCTGGTAACAAGAACTTTTGTACTTTACTATATTTCATTCTATTATATTTGCTTAACACTATGTTTGGGAGTATGGATGGCAACAAAACCCGAACCCACGGGTACCCACCCAACCCAATCCGGTCAACGCGGGTAGAATCCGTGTTGACGGGTTTTGGGCCGGGTTTGGGTTTAAACTCGTTCACTATTCACTGGGTTGGGTTGGGTTTGGGTTTAGGTAAACCCGGCCCATGGGTACCCGCCCACACCCATATAATAATTTTCTTGGTATATTTAATATTTCAAACAACTAATCTTATTTATGTTTGTGGAGACATGTCTAATTTTTTCTTTCTAATTGGGTAGAATGAAGTTGATGTTATCGAGTGGAGACCGAAGAAACTTAATTGAAAGGAAGAAGCTTTCAATTAATCATGTTATTTATGGATAATTTGTGATTTGCTTCAATTTTCTTGAGTTTTCTAGATTGGTATTGAACAATTTGTATAGTTAATTTGTGATTTACTTGTATTTTCTAGAATGGTGTTTTATATATGGATAATTTGTATTGAGAGATTGATATTTGACTTTAATTTTGATAGGAACTTGTTATAGTAAATTTTTTACGACAAAAACCCGTGGGTACCCATGAACCCGCGGATACCCAGCGGGTTTGAGTTTTTCAAACCCAGTGGGTTTTACCTCGGGTTTTTTTCACGGATAAACCCACGGGTTTGGGTTTGACAAAACCCGACCCAACCCGACCCATTGCCATCCCTATTTGGGAGGAGGGGGAAATGGAGGGGGTGCATTTTTTTAGGGGTAAGTGGCAATTCCAAGATAATTACCCCGTTTGGATCTTTTGGAACAGGGAATGGGGGAGCAATTGGGGTGCAAGTTTCCTATTCTGGCTTCCCTCCAATTTGGGGTGCAAAGGAAGCTGAGGAAATGAAAGGGGAGTGGGTGAGCCCAGAAGTGGAAGGGGAAAGAGGTTTGGGCGGGTGAGTGTGAGAAGAGATGGGAAGGGAAGGTGGGACCGGGGAGAGAGAAGAGAAGAAATTGGTAGGGTATGTTTTTTTTTTAATTCTTTATAATAATAAAATAATTATAATTGTATTAAAAGTTATATTTTATACCATTTTGCACCCCCTACTTTTTGTTCCAAACAACAATTTACCCCACAATTTATACTCCCATAAATTTACTCCCTCCTATAATTTGCATCTCAATTTGCACCCTCCTCGAATTTGCACCCCCCTCGTTGCCAAACATAGCGTAAATGTTATGTAATGGTCTTAAGTCTCAACTATCAAGACTCAAGAGATTGTTTCATAGGTTTACGATCAAATAAGTTGTCAGCTTTTTAATTTCTTATATTGGTTTTATAACCTTAATGAATCCTCTGCAACATCAAACTTGTTTATGATATATATTCGAGCAAAATCTAGTCACTCATTGTACCTTCATGTTTTTTTCATTGCAATATGGTGATCGGTGAGTCTGATTTAAATTAGTGTAATAACTAATTATAAAAAAAAACCCGTTGGTTTGGATCGAACAACCCACAACCCGACCTGTTGTAACCCGCAATCTGATCAACCCGAACTCGATTGATCCGCAACCCGATCAACCCGTAATCCGACTGATCCGCAACCCGATCAACCTGAACCCGATATACCCTCAACCCGATCAACCCGCAACCCGATCAACCTGAACCCGTTTGACCCGCAACCCGCTTGACCCGCGACTCGAGTGAACCCGAACCAAACCCGTCCGATTGACACCTATAGTGGCATTATTCCTTCGGGAAGAAACTGCCCCTCTATCTTAAACTGTTTGTTTGCTGTGCTTAGGAAAGTTGTATTTACTACTACTCTCTACTATTTTTTTTAGAAACTACTACTCTCTACTCTCTCTACTCTGCTTAGGTAGATGTATGGAAAATTCTTAGCTCCAACGCAGAAATTCCAATCAGTCACGTGTCAGTTTTTTATTGGTGATTTTATCATTTTTTAATATTTTAATTCTTGATTTACTTAGCATAATTAAATATTAAGAAAAAAAGAAGGTGAATCCATCATTAACAAACTGACACCTTGAATGGTTGGAGTTCGTCCAACTAAGGTTTGAGCTAAGAATTTTCCAAAATATTATACCAGAACCGCATCCTAGTGGTTGAGTTAGAGTTAGATGTATACACATGTTTTAGGGTAAATTCTTTTTGGTAAAAAAGCGACGCTAAAGTTCGTAACACCCTGGCTCGAGTACGAATTTTCTTTTTATACAAATACCACATTGGTATACACACGTTTTAGGATAAATTTTATTTTGGTAAAAAAAGGAGGCCAAAGTTCGTAACACCATGGCTCGAGTATGAATTTTAACACATTACCCTTGATCATTAGATAAAAAGGTCAAAATAATTGAAACATTTTAACATAATTCATCATAAAATCATATCAAATATATTGTCCTACTAAAATACTGAATCAAAACTCATCAACTAAAGGTTTTTTTGGAGCCACAATTTAGGTAACCAGTTCGCAGAGCGAGAGCGGGAGCGAGAAGGTGAGCAAGAGCGTGAGCATGAGCAAGAGTGTGGGAGTGTCAATTTCAAAAGAATTCAATATTAAGAGCGTGAAAAAGAGTCATTATTATATTTGTACTGAAGACTTGATAATGCTTCAAAAATACAAAGTAAAAATTCTACCCGTAAACAATTGAACTCCAATCCCAAAGAAGTTCCCCATAGTTGAATGCATGTGTATAATTACATAATTATGTAAGTTTGAAATGCAAGTTTTGTTACCAAAAAGAAATGTAAATGTTGTTAGTCTGGTTTCTATTAACTTCAAACTCCAATTTTCTCATTCAAGTCCAGTTTTTTTTTTTTTTTTTTTTTTTTTTGCATCACTGGATGCTTTACAGCCACAGAAAAAGAAGAACAGGGGGAGGGGAGAGGTTACAGGATTGGGGGTGGTCTTTCAGAATCCACAACGTCCCTGGGGAAGGATTGTCTTCTGCCGTCATCGCTCATGATATGGTGGAGTCTAGCTCATACTTTCCATAGGGATAGACGAGACTGTGCTTCGAGAGCCAGTCCGCAACTCTATTCCCTTCACGGTAAGTATGAACAAGCCTTACCACCCAATCCCAAGCTATCTTGCGTCTGATTGCTGTCAAGAGGGTCGCATGGGGATGTACCGGGTCAGATCTCTTCTCAATGAGTTGTATAGCCATCTGTGAGTCGGATTCTAAAATGACAGTTCTGCTTCCCTCTTCCCAAGCCATATCCAGTCCATGGAAGATGCCCCACAATTCAGCTTGAATGGCCGAGAAAATTTCCAATTTTGCAACAAAGCCCTAGATCCAAAGCGCATGATGGTTTCGCAAGACTCCTCCTGCGCCAGCCGGCCCTTGATCTCCATTAGCAGCCCCATCTACATTAACTTTGACACACCCAGCTGGAGGAGGAAGCCAGCTAATCTCACGGGTAACTCGTTGGGCTGGAGCTACTCGTCGGCCTAGAATGTCTTGAGGGGCCATTCAAGTCCAGTTAACACTCTTTTCTTATCCTTTTTTGG